TCTGACTTTGGTAAATGTCAGTGATTTGCTCTTTTCTCTTCGGTGTATGTAACTTTCTTTCATGCTGCCCATCCTGGCTTTATGAGTGGCTAAGCAAACATGAGAGGGAGAATTAAGCTGATTCTTGTCTTAGCTTTCCTGTCTTTGTAACAAGATCATTAGGTACAGCATCCTCCCCTTGTTGCATTGTACTTGGTCGCATTCTGACAGCCTGTGTTCTCTGCACGTGAGGCACAGCTCGCACCAACAAGCTTTATGAATTTCCTTTAGAGCTGCAAATACCATAGGAGCTTTGCATGTGACAGTTTTGTGCAATGGGGAGCAGGGTAAGGAGGATCAAGGGGCAGTGGCTGGGACGGCCTGTCTAGATTGGAAAGGAAATGATCTAAGTTTGCTAGACCTTTGGCTCTACATTTGGATCCTGATTTTTGTGACTTTTTCTATACATGCTGTGGGGAATTGGGAGTGAGACATAAATATTATTCAGTAAATAGCTATTGCTAACAGTTATGTGTGGGACCCTGTGCTAAGTGCTGGGAAATGATAAGATAAATAGGTTACGGTCCCTGCTCTCAGGGCATTTGTAATTCATCAAAGGAGAGAAATGGAAGAGGGCATAGTACTATGTGAAAGCAGTTATCATCGAGTTTACGTACAACATGCTCAGAGTAGAGAGGCAGTGGCACTAATTAGAGAAGGGCTTCCCAGAGGAGGTGGCAAACTGGGCTTTCAAGGATTGGCTTGCCTGTTAGAGACTGCGAGAATCGTGGCAGACAGGCATTATGCATCTAGGCACAGAGACACCACTGAGTGTGGTGTGTGAGGGAAATGGCAGGTGGTATGAGGTGGTGGATTATAGCACAAAATGAGAATGAAAGGCGAGCCTATGAAGGAATCATCTTGCTCTCAGTTTGCACCATATCATGTAGAATTTTAAAGCATTGCATGTTGTGTTTAGAAATGTCTGTTTTAGAAAGATCGGTTTGAAGGATAGATTGAAAGAAGGGAAGAACTGGCTGAAAGTAAATAGTCCCAGCCAGAGATGGTGATGCCTGTGGTATGGTTGGAGTGGAGTAGGTGGATGTGGTGGGCATTTGGAGAGAAAATCTTTAGCACATGAACAACGTCAGGATAGAACTTTGGGGTCAACCTGCCTTTAAGGTATGGACAGAAGAAACAGCCTCTGTGAGAGACTGTGCTGTATTGGAAGACAAGGGAGGAAGTATATTTTCAACAAGAGTGGTGGTACTCAGCAGTATTAATGCCTCAAAAGGGACACTAGGACAGGACTGATAAAAGACCACTGCAGATAACAGATTGAGGTCATTGGTAATCCTTGGGAAGAATGACAGGTGATTCTTGAACAGCATGGGGGTTAGGGACACTGATCCCCTGTGCAGCTGAAAATTCATATATAAATTTTGATTCCCCCAAAACTTAAGTACTGGTGGCCTACCCCTGACTGGAAGCCTTACTGATCACAGAAACGTTGACTAACACATTTTGTATGTTGTGTGGTATTATATACCATATTCTTACACAAAGTAATGTAGAAAAAACAAAATGTTATTAAGAAAATCATAAGGAAAAAAAATACATTGCAGCATTTATCGAAAAAACTCTGCATGTAAGTGGACGCATTCAGTTCAAACCTGTGTTTCCTCCAGGGTCAACTGTATATTAGAGCCCTGTAAGAGTGGAGAAAACAGTGGAATGCTTACCATGTTCGAGCCATATCACCATTGCACATGCATTTGTGCAAGGGAAGATTCACAAACATCTAGCGCTCCAGGTGCTTGGATTGGGGGTATAGGAGAGGGAAGCATAGGGTCAGTGCTAAGTTCAAGTTCCCTGAAAAATACCTCTGCCTCCTACTTTCTAGAGTCTCAGAAAACTCCTTCCTTTCAAAATACCATGACTCTGTAATCATGCCATTTTGCCTTATTACTGTCAGCTTACTGTAGAACACAGAGCTTATAGATTCTCTTCTAGCTCCAAACTGTTACTCATTACTAGCCATGATGCTTGTTGTGGGTGCTGTGCTATGCTACCCAAGTCCCCTTTCCACTACTGAGGCCCTCATTGCCCACCTGCTGGGAGTGTAGGCAGCTGGCGATGATTCTCACCTGGGAATTGTCCTCAGCTGGAGCAAGTTGCTTCACCCAAGATCACCACTTCTGGGATGGGGATGATGACAGACGAATCAATGGAGGTGGGATATAAAGGCTCCCATGCCTCAAGGTAGGGTAATTGAGAAGAGTCACCCCAGATTTGCAGCTCCTGTGCACCCCAGTTGAACCTCTTCTGTCTGCTCAATCAAGTCCTTCTCCCTTTACTCCTCAGCTATGCATAAACGTCTGTGATTTTCAGAGTCTATTTCCTGGGGGAACCAACCTAAGTCGATCATTATTTTCCATTTGGTTGCCTACCCAAGAGGGGTCACCCGTCAAATTCTGTAGTCCCCCTGACCTTTGCTTCTGATCCCCTTGGACATGTCCAGTGGGAAGAACCTCTCTCCCAAGAGCTGGAATGAAAGTCTTGGCATTGAGCCTCCTTGGCCCTGATTGGTTGGGCCATATACCCATTAATAGACTATTCAGGGAGAGGAAAGAACCTAGAAGTCAGCATCTCCGCTCCTCTGGAGACCTACCCATTCAACTCCAGCCCAGAAGAAGGGTCCATGAGGGGTGACCCCTGGGTGTAGAAGCTGGTCCCCACTCTGCACCCTGTTTCTACCCTCCCCCCACCCTTCTTACACTTCCCACACTCCTTAAGGCAGCTAGTAGTCACCATCCTGCATTGACTCTTTCGTTCATATGTTCTTTCTAGTCAAGAAAAATGAATGTTGAAAACACAATTGAGATATTTCAAGCAAATGTAGAACCTCCCTTGAAATTTGTTGCAGAAACAGCACTGAGCAAACAAACTACTGGGAAGCACAGCTTAGAAACAAACAGCAGCTGCCACCGTTTGTGGGCTGCTTTTCCCCTTTTCCTCGTTTGTTTCTAATTCATTTTTAATAAAACCTGCTGCCTAGTAGTTGAACAATTTTTCTTTCCTATCTTGAGGCCTCTCAGGTGGCCTTGATGGTGTCTTTTAGTAATGGGGGTGTTAGGGGCCAGAGCTCCAAGCCCCCCCTGTGCCCTCCTGTTTCACACGCCTCTCTGACCAGGCAGGGTATAGCTGGACCTTCTGGATGGTTAGATCTGTTGGGACTCGAGTCGAGAGTGTGGTTTCTTGCTCTTCTGGCTTTATAATCATGGATAATGCTAATTCCTATCTTTCTCAGGGACAAAGTGCTTCAACTGGTGGTTTTCTATTTCTGTTTTGTTTTTTCTTTGTTTTCCATGTGGAATCTTTGAAGGCACATAGCAAGGGCTTTTCTTGGGCCTGATTTACTAAAGGCTGTAACTTTAACGAACTCTAACTTGTCACATCCCGCTCATTTATCTCCTTTGGCATGAATAGCAACCCCAAAGCAGCCCTTCTCCCCTTTCTGTGCTCCTAGTGGTGTGGAATTCCTTAGCTTAAGGACTGTTATTGGATATTAGTGGATTGCTGGCCATGTTCAAGGACTGGTGCTGGGCCCTCACTTATGCTTCACCAGAGGGTAGGGTTGATGCCATATACCAGGGTAGATGCCATCTTCGTTTAATCTGCTCAGAGACTAAATTTCTGGCCCAGGGTGTGCTAGGGTCACACAGCCAGTCAGAGCAAAACTGACGTTCAGCCCAGATCTGTCTGAAGCCCCAGCTCAGGCTTCCACCTCGCATCTCTCAGCCACTGCAATAATATATGACTGTGCTCATAATGAAGTGTTCAGTAGCGATAGTAGCTGCTTTTAGACCAGAGGGGGCAGTCTTTTATTTGTCCTTGAGAGTATATTTTTTAAAAAGTGAGTCAGCGTCTAACATGTAAAAATGAGGAGATTTCACATTAAACAAAATGCTCAGTTTTTCTTGGAAAAAAAAATCTGTAGACCTGGGAATACTGTGTTCATAGGTTTACAGTACAACTATTCCAGCTAAGTAGAATTTCAACCCTCCCCCACCGCACCCAAAGGAGACAAGACTTCTTCAGCTTGCCACAGGTCTCAGCTACCCTACTTCACTCTTACTTCACTTTCCTGGTTTCTCTGGACTTTTAAGTTTGTGATTCTTGAGTTAGGCTTTTCAAGAAACTGTTTCTGTCTAGTTAGGAATCAGTAGAAGTCAATGTCAATTTCTGCCTCTGAGTTGAATTTTACAGCCTTTGATTTTTCTTTTCAACTCTTTGGAATAGTGATTTGGTAAGAAGAGCTTCAATTATTGGACATTTGTTGAGCATTCTAACATTTGACTGACACTGAGGGAAGACAGATACCTGTTTAGAGGTGAGAACTTGCATAATTCTCCAATTTAGTTTGCACTCTAACACCAGGTACTGCTCGGGTACTGCAGAAACTGGAGGCCACCTGCATAAGGGTATTTTGCAGAGGTGGTATTGCGGACAGGGGACATGAGTCCAAAGGAGAACATTGTAGGAGGGGCAGTTTTGTTGATTCTACATTGACTACTTAGGTAAGATAGCCTCACAATACAGGAGTACCACTATCTTAACTGCCAGTGTTCAACACAATGAGCAGCTCAGAAATTTCAAAGAGAAAGATCTTAAAAGTTAGAACATCAGAATGGTGGGTCTCTCATTTTATCTTGATGTACCTGCAAGTGTATTTCCATTTGACAATGGGGAATGTAAGTCTTTTTTATTGTTTCAGTGGGCGTCACTTCTCCTTTAATCTGGTTTAAACACATCTCATAGAAGTGCAAAATAGAAACAAAATGGATTTTGACTAATTTCCGAGCTGCAACTGAATTAAAATTTAATAGTATTTAATATTAACACATGAGAGCCCCCAAAGCTAAAGTTGTTATTTGTGTATTTAAATAAGTGTTTGCTTTTAATTAAGACAATGCCTGGAATATTGTTTGAATTTTTATTGTTTGTTTATTTTCTTGCAGGACCCTGCAGGGATCTTTGAATTGGTGGAACTTGTTGGAAATGGAACATATGGACAAGTTTATAAGGTAAGTTCAGCTGAGTTTGAACATGGTCTGCGTGTGGTTTGGGTTTGTCAGTGCTGAATGGCAGTGCTGTCCATTGTTTCTCATATATGCGTCACAGCAGGTTTAAAAGGAAATAATGCATTTTCTAATTGACTCTCCACCATTTTAAGTATATGTGTAGTCCTGTTGCCTAAACTGGATTCTAGGATTCAGGCCTTTCCCTTCGTTATGCATTATAATGTTTATATCTGATACAGGTCTGCATATTTGAAGTGCTGCAGGTAGTTAATTTCCTTTACTTTAATCATTGCCAGGCTGGTTTTCAAAGGAGCAAAGGATGCCATTTACTTTAGAAATTTAAGCTATTAAAGTATCATATCTGGAAAAGTAGATTTGTTATTGGCCTAAGGCATGACTTAAATGAGTTTAGTGAACAGCGTTAGGAGAAAACTGGCTGCCTCACAAAGCAAAAACCTAGTGCAGCAATGACTTTTTATGAGATACGAAATAATTAAAAGTTAAACTTGGGTTGAGATTGAGCTGAGGAATAAGAAGTCCTTCTTGCCCTTTTACTAATTTTCACTTACAGATTCACCCAAAAAATGCTTTTAAAAGATACTTTCCCCCAGGAAGTGATCTAAAAAGTGGTTGTTTAAAATGTGGGTTGATTCTCTTTCTGATAATCAAAAGGAAATGGAAATGAACTGTTTTTAGACTAAAACTCAGGGGGTTTTAGTGAATGAGCTATTGAAATAACTGCCTTCAAAACAAACCAACTGTTTCCTTATGATTGTTTCTAGGGAAACATCCATCATTCTCCTGAATGCTAGTGATATGGGATGTCATTTCCATTACTAATTATCCCGTTTTATTTTTAAAAATTCCTTCTCTGAGGCCTAACTTCATTTAGTTTATTAAAATTATTATAGAAGTCATCCAGATTGTAATATTTCCAACTGTACAGAATGTCAAAAGTATACATACACACACATATATGTAAACATATATATGTATCTGTGTGTGTGTGTGTGTGTGTGTGTGTGTATATATATATATATATGTAGTAATCTTGAGAATCTGGTTTTTAAAGCACAATTGTAAACAGATACATATTTAAACCTTTATTTACTGGGAGGTACCCTTTGAGGTTCACTCCAGGGGAAAATTTTTCCCTTGCAAGAAACAATTATGTCTTAAAATGTCAACCCCCTACAATTAGACAGAATGTAGCCTACCCAGGATGTTCACTTGACGTTGATCCTGTCTGACACAAGAAAGAAATGTGTCTCAGCAAATGCTTTTAAATACTTTCAATGAAGATAATTAGGTTGGAAGAATGTATTATTGCATTTTGAGAACTTGGATTCAACTTGAGAATTAAGGTGAGCTAATGAATTAAGCTCTGATTTAGGCAGAAAATTACTTCTGATTTGCTGTCAATATGGAGAAACAACAATGTAGAATGCTGCTGGCTTCCTGGTGCCATTTCTTAGAGCCATTCCACTGTACTGTGCTTCCCACCAACAGAATACACATTAGTGACACGACCCACAGCTTTGTCCACTGATCTAAGGTGTGGACTGCGTAGTCTTGCAAGAGAAGATAACAAAGGGGTTCAATTAAGGATAAGAATGTTTGGAAAATCCAGAATTATCTCTAATATCTTATACCTGAAAACAAAGAGGAAACCAAATGGCAAGAGATCTCAGATCTCGTTAGAGAAGAAAGGTTTTTACCAACCACTTTGTTAATGTTATTATTCTAAAGGGCGCGATTCTCTTAGTGGTTGATAAAAAACTTTGGCACCTCTCAAGCTGAAGGTAGACAGTAAAGAATGGCCATGGGTTTTGGGACAGGAGACTTGGTCTCTTTCACCAGCTCTAGGTATTGTTTTGTGGCATTGCAGTTTTTGTCTGCCGTTAGTCAAGTGAGGATGTAATTAGAAATACTCTGGGGATTTGTAATGACTCATCTAAAGAATAAACTCCCTACCTAGTTAAGAGTTCCGTTTTTAGGCAACCCAGGTGATATTAGGTGGCACCGCTCATGAACAGGGACACCTGGGCTTCTTGAGGCACTAACCCAGCTCAGCTGTTACCTTGAGTTAAAAAAGGATTAAAGCTTAATAAAATAACAGAAATCGAACTCAAATATATGTGGACCTGAAGAAAAATAACTTAGGAAGTAATCGTTCACATTATAGGTTATACTTAACACTTATGGAATAAATATTTCTAAAATACTGCCAGCACAAATAGTGATTTTGTAGCCTTAAAAAGAGATTCCTAATCAAAAAAGGTTCTATGATAAATAGTTCCTTTACATTAGGTATTTAATCTTTGATTTTAATTTTCTGTAAATCAGCTTTTGGTATTCCTGGATTTCATATATTGAGTATGATTTTATGAACAATTTTATGAGCATAGCCTTTATTTTATGGAAAGATTGATCATGTTTCTTTAATTATTTAAAAAATATTTTAATTGATTTTAAAGAGAAAGAGAGGAAAAGAGAGAGGGAGAGAGAGAAAAATCAACTTGTTGTTCCACTTATTTGTGGATTCATTGGCTGGTTCTTGCATGTGCCCTGACTGGGGATTGAGCCCACGACTTTGGAGTATTGGGACAATGCTCTAACCCACTGAGCTGTCGAGCCAGGGGCCAGGGCTTTAAGTTTATTTTTCATAAACTGTTCTAAGAGAGTCATAATTCAATTTTATCTACCAGAAGTTTTAAGGAAACATGCATAATACAGTAAACATAAAGTATATGTAGATATTAAGATAGTATTTCCTGAAGTCTATCTGCATATAAGCCACATACATCTGGATGTGGAAATATAAATATTTTATATAAAGGTCATTTAGTAATGTTTAGCTTTTCAAAGTTGCTTCTAGTCTTACTCCCAAGTCTAGCTTGGTCTCTCTGTTCTTAGAAGGTTAGATTTGTTTATCTTTAGCATTTTGGTCCCAGGTGGTCAAGAGGCAATTCTGTTTTTTACTTTATTTACAGAATAGAATACCTAAATAATAAAGTGTAGTGATTCTATATCAAGAATTTTAATGAGGAAACAATCTTCCTGAGCCTGTGGCCCACATTAAAAAACAAACCAACAAAAGGTCACATATCTGTTTGCTCAAGGTTTTGTCTGTTTATTGGAGTGCTACCTATAAGGACCTAATGGAATCCAGACATGTTTTTTGAAAATAGAGTAATTTTTTAAAAAATTGGAAATAATTGTTAAATGTATACTGCTAAAACACTACTAAATTGTAGCTACAGATTTCAAAAATGAATGCTAGCCTATCCCATTTCTTAATTTTCCCTTTTGAAATATATTTTGGTTATCCCAGAGATGGAGACATTATTTTCGTCCCGATGGAATTGTGTAATGGGAACATGGTGGATTTCTCAGTATTGCTCAGGTTTCTCTTGAAACTTCCTTAAGGTTATAAAGAATGAAATAAAAAGGCCATCTTGGTGGTTATAATGCTTGTGAGAGAGAGAGCAAGTGGAGCATGTGTGCGTTTTCAAAGGGTTACAAAGGTCCTTACAGGTCATCGAGTCCAAGCATTTTGATACCAGCTGTCTATTCAACCCATTCTTTTTTTAAAAAAGATTTTATTTATTTTTTGGAGAGAGGGAAAGGGAGGGAGAAAGTGAGAGAGAGAAACATTGATGCGCGAGAAAATCATTGATTGGCTGCCTCTGGTGGGTCCCCAAACAGGAACCTGGCCCTTAACCCAGGCATGTACCTTGACTGGGAATCAAGCCAGCAACCTTCTAATTCCCACTTTGGTGCTGAACCCACTGAGCCACACCAGCAGGGCTATTCAACGCATTCTTGATCACCCACCTCCAGCCATGGGGAACTTACTACCTCTCAATTGGTCCATTTTCCTGCAACTCTCTTTGAATGTTCATTATCATATTGAACCAAGGTTTTGGCTTCCTAAAATGTTTACCATACCATCAGAGCTATTTAAAAAAATAAATTACATCTTCCTCCACAAGAACAGAGTCCTTCAGATATTTGAAGAAGACTTCTCCCTACTTCCCCCAAACACATACTTGTGTCTCCTGCTCTACAGGCAGTATAACCTCAGTTGCTTAATTAATTCTTCACATGCCCCAGACCTGAGGCCCATCATTATCCTCATGAGAATAGTTTCAGGATATAAGAAGCCAGGATAAATATACTAAAAATAATGCTTTATACTTTTACATAGTTTTCTACTTCATAAAACCTTTAATGTGTGTTATCTGATTTTTTATTTAATTCCTATAATTTCATGAGAATTTTGTTTTCACCTTAGAGTATAGTCATAATTCTGCCTGCCTAGAACACTTGCCCTGCAACCCTCCTATGACTGGGTACTTCTCCTTCGGGTCTCAGCTTAAATGTTACCTCCTCAAGCAAACCACTTTTTCATTCTTGTATCTAATATAGCCAGCTATCCTCTCTGCCTCCCTCCCCCACAGACTCTGTCTCATCAACCTGTTTTATTGTCTTCATTATCTTAATTCTTTGTTTATGTGTATATATAAACAATTAAAATGCATAAATAAAAGAAAAATAAGGGTAGGAGCCTACTGTCTAGTCATCACTGTATCTACAGTCTGATATGTAGTAGGTGTGGACCACTGTTGGTCCCAGAATTGATCTCTTATTTTCCTTGATAATTCTTTTTATATTAATTCCCAGATTTTTTAGTATTTCCCATAAAATATCAGTCTACTTATTTCAGAAATGCATATTTGCACAAAAGTAATCTACAGAATGCTCTACTTGTTCTTTGTTGTTGTTTTTTATGGTGGGAGGTGGATATAGATTTTATGTTAAATGAATCATTAGTAGTCTGTAGAATCAAGATCCATGCTGGGAGTTTACAAAATGAAGCAAATCAATTTTCTGGGATCCAGTCTCCTGGCAGAGGTTCTCAGACTTAACTGTGCAAAATGAATATTTGGGAAATTATTTAAAATATAGCTTTCCAGGCCCAACTTATGAAATTTTGTTTC